TTATGCATAAAGCTGCTATGAACATTTCTGTACAAGGCCACCCCCACCCCCGTGGATGTGTAGGTGAATTTCTTTTGCTATGAATCTAAGATGGAATTGCTAAATCATAATCAAATGTAAGTTTGACTTTCCTAGCAGCATGTTTCCAAACTCCCATCAGCAATGTTCAAAATATCCAACTCTCCTAGGTCGTCACCAAAACTTGGTATTACCAGTCTTTTTCGTTTTATCATTCTGGCGGGTGTCTTTTGATATCTAACTGTGGTTTGATTTATGTTCTCTGATGACTAATGATATTCAGTATCTTGTCATGATTATTAGCCATTCTTATATTTTTTTGTGACTGTGTTTTTATTGTTGATCTGTAAGAATTTTTCATGTATTTCTCATGCAAATCATGTGTTAAAAATATCCATTGTGAATTTTTTTTTTCCAGTGTGGAAAACTTTGACTTTCCACCCTCTAAATGATGTTTTTTGATGAACAAAAATTTTAAATTTTGATGGAGTCCATTTTGTCCTATTTTCCAATTGTAATTGGTACTTTTTGTGTCTTAGCTGAGAAATTCTTGCCACAGTTCCCAAATACATCATTCTATGATTTCTTCCAAAAGTTTTATAGCTCAGGGGCACCTGGGTGGTTCAGTGGGTTAAGCCTCTGCCTTTGGCTCAGGTCATGATCCCAGGGTCCTGGGATCAAGCCCCACATCAGGCTCTCTGCTCAGCGGGGAGCCTGCTTCCTCCTCTTTCTGCCTGCTTGTGATCTCTGTCTGTCAAATAAATAAATAAAATTAGGGGCGCCTGGGTGGCTCAGTGGGTTAAAGCCTCTGCCTTCAGCTCAGGTCATGATCCCGGGGTCCTGGGATCGAGCCCCACATTGGGCTCTCTGCTCAGTGGGGAGCCTGCTTCCCCCTCTCTCTCTGCCTGCCTCTCTGCCTACTTGTGATCTCTCTCTGTCAAATAAATAAATAAATAAATCTTAAAAAAATAAATAAAATTAAAAAAAAAAAGTTTTATAGTTTAGCCCTCACATTTATGTATTAGATCCATGTCCATTGAGAATTATTTGTGTGTGTGTGTGTGTGCGTGTGTGCGCCCACAGTGTGAGGTAGTAAGACATCTAGTTGCTACCCACAGTTGCTGCTCTAGTAGACAGAGGAATTTTCTTTCCCACCAGTGCCTTTACTGAAAATCAAGTGAGTATATGTATATGGGTTTATTTTGGGGCTTTTTATTCTGTTCCATTGATCTAGTTGTCTATTCCTGTGCCAAGACCACACAGTTTTAATGACTATAATTTTACTGGATGCCTTGAAATGTAGTAGCACACAGTCTCCCTCCGTTTCCTCCTGCTCCTCCTGATCTTACTCTTCCTTCTTCTTCAACATCCTTTTGGTTATTTAGATTGTTTTTATTTCTCATATATTTTATGATATGCTTGTTTATTAAAAAAAAAAAAAAATCCTACACCTAGGTGGTTCAGTCAATTGGGCGTCTGCCTTTGGCCCAGGTCATGATCCTGGAGTCCTGGGGTCAGGCCCCACATCGGGCTCCTGCCTCAGCAGGGAGCCAGCTTCTCCCTCTTTATCTGCTCCTCCCCCTATCTCCCGTTCATGCTCTCTCTCTCAAAATAAATAAATAAAATCTTAAGAAAAAAAATATCCTGCAAGGATTGTAATAGAAATTGCATTGGATCTAGAGATCAACTCAGGCAAACTTCACATTGTAATAATATTGACTCTGTCTCTTCACAAATGTGGTTGTTCTTGCCATTTATTTAAGCCCTTTAAAAATTCCCTTCACAATGTTGGTAGTAGTCAGCATAGAGGGCTTGCCCATCTGTCCTTACCGTAGAGCTAAAACTATTCCACGCTGAGGAAAAATAGGCCGTGATTGGCTTTGCCAATAAATAGTAAATTGGACTTTGTTTTCCACCTTCTTGTGGAATTTTGAAGGGTAATTGTGGGCACAAAGTTTGCTATAAAGAATGACTTTACTCCATCAAAAGATATGGTTCCTCTATGATCTTAGAGCAAACGATAGTCCTTTAAACAGAACATTTCAGCCTATGGAAACATATCTCCTAGCCTTTATTTTTCTCATTTTGTGGCACATAGGTAAAAATTTCATTATAGATATTCATCCGTTCTCAGACCTGCAATGAAAAATCAGTTTAAATTGAAAAATCAATTTAAGGGAATGGTTCAGTGTTTCCATTTGTAAAGACACTTGGGATCCTGGTGTTTGAGTTATGAGTCCTAACCCAAGGTCACAGAGAGTGGGTGTGTCATCTCCTCCACTGGTTTGGAAGCAGTAACATGTATAAAGGCTGGGCACAGGGCCAGGCACATAACAAGGGAAGAAACAAATGGGAGACCCTTCCTCTTGCTTCATCGTCCTTGCCCTCCTTGACCCTATTTCTAAATGTCATAGCTGGATGGATATTTGTAGCTGTGGCTAGATCATGAAATGCCAGAGGGTGGACATAGGTGAAGTCTTGAGTAAAGCAGAGGTCTTGCTGGGTGTCAGAATGGAGATGGCAGGCAAGTTCAGGGTCTAGAGGGAGAGTGAGCTTCTAGGATTTAAGCCTTGATGGCAAATATGGGCAGGAGAATGTCCAAGCAGTGGGTGCTGGTTGATATTAGGGACCAAACTGGTATCAGGACTGGTACCAGGCAAGCAATGCAGATCAGCTGAGAATAGCTGTTCCGTTCATTTTAACAAACATTATGGAGTGCAACTAAGTGCTCTAAGATTTCTGAGTTGGGAACAGCCTAGCACGTTCAAGTATAACTGATTGATATTTGATTGGTGATCTTGGGCAAGGACAGGTCTTGGCTCTGGCTGTAGTGACCTGTTTGGGCTGACAAGTCTTTTTTTTTTTTTTTTTTTTTTTAAAGAAGATTTTATTTATTTATTTATTTGAGACAGAGAGTGAGAGAGAGCATGAGAGGGAAGAAGGTCAGAGGGAGAAGCAGACTCCCTGCAGAGCTGGGAGCCCAATGTGGAACTCCATCCCGAGACTCCGGGATCATGACCTGAGCTGAAGGTAGTCGCTTAACCAACTGAGCCACCCAGGCACCCTGGGCTGATAAGTCTTACAGTGAGAATTGCGTTGAAGGTGGGGTGGGAATGATAAATTTCTGCATGTGCTGATGGTTGTAACCAAAGACAGGGCGCCTGGAAGACCCACAATTTAAATGCTCCATCTGGGGAGGACCATGCCCATTTGTGTCTGTCTCCCTCTGGTGCTAGGATTTTTTTTTTTTTTTTTTAAGATTTTTTTTTTTTTTTTGACAGACAGGGATCACAAGATGGCAGAGAGGCAGGCAGAGAGAGAGAGAGGGGGAAGCAGGCTCCCTGCAGAGCAGAGAGCCCGATGTGGGACTCAATCCCAGGACACTGGGACCATGACCTGAGCCGAAGGCAGAGGCTTTAACCCACTGAGCCACCCAGGTGCCCCTGGTGCTAGGATTTTTTGTTTTTGTTTTTGTTTTTTGTTTTGTTTTGTTTTGGTTTGGTTTGGTTCTATGTGTCTGTAAAACTAGAGTTTGGGTTGGAAGGGACATGGTGTTGCAGTTTGGCATTTGACAATCATATCATTAAGTTCTATTATTTGACTTGTATACTATCTCCCCTCCCCCCACTGTGAAGCAGCCATTGACTTCCAGACATTACAGAATATTACACACAAGGAAGAAAACAGTTCAATTTTCTTTTTTCTTCCCTTTCCTTTCTTTCTCTTCTTACTGTTTACCACCCAAACAACTAGCTCCTTTAGAAGTAGAACTGAACTAATCCCATCAGCAGCCGGCATTGGGTTTCTGGGAACCCCAGGGACAGCAACCTTTTTTTTTTTTTTTTTAAATATTTTATTTATTTGTTTGACAGAGATCACAAGTAGGCAGAGAGGCACAGAGAGAGAGAAGGAAACAGGCTCCCTGCTGAACAGAGAGCCCGATGCGGAGCTAGATCCCAGGACCCCGAGATCATGACCTGAGCTGAAGGCAGAGGCTTTAACCCACTGAGCCACCCAGGCGCCCCCAGCAACCTTTTTTTGTACAGTGTGTTTGTCTAGGAATTGGGGCGAGAGAAACCTGAGTGTTGGTTTATTTCATGTTTCGAACTAAGAGAAAGTTCGTAAATACTTGTTCGCAGGGGGAAACCCCCTCTTTTTGCTACATGAGCTTTAAGAGGTGTTTGGATGCGGGGCGACTCAGATTCTCTGAACTTTTTGCATGCAGAACTTTTTATTCAGAAGCAATCCTCAACGTTTGGGAATTTGTTCCTGCTGAGAAACCTACTATTCAGACTAGTGCTGCCCTCTTATTAAAAAAATCCCCACCATTGCGTGCCTGCTGGAAGCATCAAGAGCCATACTCTTCGCCCTGTTCACCTGTCCAGGGCTAACCAACCTACGAAGGGGGTCCGACTGCACACCCACCTCTAGGCTGAGAGGCTTCCCGGTAGTAAGGCTGAGGTTGATTTTTGAAGACAGGGAACGATCTGCAAAATCTGATTTAGGAACCAATAAGCTAAATTTAAGATTATGAAAATAGATGGAAAGAAAAGCTTTTGGCGAGCAAGTTTAACCTGCGGGAGGGGAAACCGTCCTGTGCCTCCCTCGCAGAGGCTCAGTGAGAACCTCTGAGATGAGGGTGGACGAGGCCTGCGTACCCTGCCACCTCCCCTAACCGCCCCCCCCGCCCCCCCCCCCCCGCACCCACCCACCCGGCCCTGCGGCTCCAGGCCTTGAGCCCCGGGGGTGCCCATCCTGTCCTGGCAGCTGGTGCTGCGCGCTGACGTCACCGCGCAGGGTTTGCCCCTTGAGCCAGCTTCGCCAGGAGCCGGCTCAACATTTTGCATCCCCAGCCCGCACCGAGGGAGGCCTGCAGAGCGTTTCCAGGGGCACTTCCGTTTCAGCTTGTTTCTATTTTAAAGCCTGGAGACAATTAAAGACCAGTGTCTGGTGCCAGTATTTTTTTTTTTTTTTTTTTTTTTTTTCCACGGCTCACGCTATTCTTAGAAACAGTTGAGCCGGTGGTAGAGTCTCAAGGCTCTGGAATCTTTTCCTTCGTGTGGCAACAACTTAGTTTTCCTGTGGAGGCTCAGTGGTGCTTTTCTTGGGCTCAGCAGTGCGGCTGATGCGGCCTGGATTGCATAGACGCTGGGAGGACACATACACCACCCTTTGGAAATGCAGCAGGACGGGGATCGGGGCAGGCAAAGAGGAAGGAGCAGGACTGGCTCCCATAGGCAGCTGCTTTATTTATAGCTCCTAAAATGGTGTTTGTTCAACTATCCTGAACTTTCGTGGAAGTTCAAATGTGGGCACTGTGATCAGAATGCTGAAGTAAAGCGATAAAAATTGTATTTAAAAATTATTTTTAACTGCCTGTGAAGCTAAGGCTGTGTTTTGGTAAAATAAGCTGTGTTTAGTATGGCCATATGGAATTAAAAAGTCATTCAGCCAGATTTTGTCACTCACTTACTATCTAGGACACAAGGTTATTTAACCTATGGATTTTGTCTTTAAGAAGAAATAAGACACACCCATGGATTTTTATAATAAAAATAACAAGGGAACACTTTTACCCAAAGACATGTATTAGAAAGGCCATTCACATGTTGGTCTAGGAACTTTCCAGAACGGTTCAACGGGAAGCAATGTTCCCTTTTGTGTATGTTTGAAGTTCTCCCTAATAAAAATTAAAAAACTATGAGAACAAAGGAGAGAATAATCTCTATTTTGAAATAATTAAAGTCAAACAGGAAAAGACCCCTGTAGAGTACAGCCCAAGTGAGACTCTGAATGAATATTTATAACCTCAGTTACATCCATTAGAAAAGGAGAAAGATTGAAAACTCATGAGCTAAGTGCTGAACTTAACGCAGTAAAAAAACAACCACAGAGCAAGCAGAAAGAATGCAGAAGGAAGGAAACCATAAAGATAAGGTTAGCAATTAATGAGCTAGAAAACAAAGTAATAACACAGAAAATCAACTAAAGGAAAAACTAGTTCCTTGAAAAGAGTGATAAAGACTTCTGGTGAAAATGACCAAAAACAGGGGGGAGGGAGGGCATGAAACAGACATGACGTAGTTGCAGATGGAGATTTAAAAACCTATCAGAGAATATTATGGATGAGTTCCTGACAAAATGTTTGGAAACTTAGAGAGAAATTGGACAATTTCCTAGGAAAATATCAATGACAAAAATTAATGAAATGAAAAAGACTGAATATACCACAAAAGAAGTGAATTGAGTAAAAAATCTGGCCCCTTCCCCTCTTTAGAACATAAGCCAGAGGCAGCCAAGATTACAAAATCTTCAAAGAACAGATAAGCACTACTTTGTATAAACATTTCTGAAAAGGGAACAAGGACAACTCCCAACACCATTTTATATGTCTAAACCTGACAACAAAACTGAACAAGAAAGATAAAAAGATAAAAACGCAAAATCAGAGCTCACTGAAAATTGTGAACATGAATGCTATGATCTGAAGTAAAATATTAGCAAACCAAATCTTTCCAAATATTTTAAAGGACATTTTTGCCCAGTTGGTGTTTATCCCTAGTGTTGTAGGATGGCTTATGTCAGGAAATCTTGTAACTGACCTCATTTGTACATTTCAAGTTATAGGAATTGCTTCAAGTTTTTTTTTCCCCCAGTGATTTATTTTATTTTAGTTTTTTTGAATTTAAATTCAATTAGCCAACATATAATACATCATCGGTTTTTGATGTAATGTTCAATGATTGATTTGTTGTGTATACTCAGTCCATCAAGTGCCCTCCTTAATGCCCAGCACCCATTTACCCCATCCCCCATCCATCTCCCTTTCCACAACCCTCAGCTTATTTCCCAGAGTCCAGTTTTATGTCTCCGTAAAATGTGAAACACAGTCAGGTTCTTCTGTTTCTGGGGATGAAAACTGAGGAATGAACTGAGTTGCTTCAACTGTCACTAAAATGTCTTATTTCTTTAAATAGAAAAAGATCACTGGAGCAGGGTTTCAGTTAAGGGTAACGTTTCTTAGAACCAGTGGGTGAGCCAATTGCTAACTGTCATTTTTCTTCTTGATTTTTTTCCGAGTTGTGGAAATACGACACAAGTAAAATGTTTTCAATTTCAGAAAAAAAAAAAAAAAAAAAGACAAAAGACAGAATCCACAACAAATAAATGATGACTGGTGTCCTGTTCTCTGCCTCTTTTCCATTTTTGTTTTCTTATGCACTAGAAAATGTTCAGTTTATACTTTAATTTGCTCGTAAGACTAAGAAACTGAAGGGAAAGTCTTCTTGCCTTTGGTCCATAAAATGTGTAATAATAACTGTTGTGACGATATTTTTGATTTCTTGTTTTCCACCTAAGAAAAAAAACAAAGTGGCATAGATATGTGCAATAGAAAAGAAACCAATCCTCACATCAGTGGCAGCCCTGACTACTCCAGACACAAACTTTCTATTCTCTCTGCCCCTTTTTGCTTCCTCCAGTCCCCCCACAGTCATCAAAGTGCTTCTGAGATGAAGTTTATTTCTCTCTGCTTTCTCATCTCTCTTAAAATCTCATCCACTTTGTCTCTTTTTATTCCCAACATCTCTCCTTCCATAATTATCTCCAGCAGGGAGGTGACATGTATTAGAATGTTTTACCCAATTGTTGAGGTGAAGTTTCAGGCAAGTACATTTGCATACAATAGTACATGTACACAGACGACCTTTGAACACAGTGTGTGTTGCGGGTGGGGGCGGTGGTTAGAGATGCCAACCCCTGCCCCACTGGGGAATCTGCACAGAACTTTCTAGTCGTCCAAAGCTTAACTACTAATAGCTAACTATTGACCAGAAGCCTTGCCGATACCATAAACAGTGGATTAACACATATTTTGTGTGTTATATATGTCTTATGTCCTATATTCTTAAAGTATGCTAGAAAAGAAAATGTTATTAAGAAAAGGAAGAGAGAATAGTAGTAGTAGTAGAATTTAAGTAGTGTCCTGTATGTAAGTGGACCTATGCAGTTCAAACCTGTGTAGTTCAGGGTCAACTATATACACAGGTATTAACGCAGAAAGGAGGAGGGGTCCGTCAGTGTCTGCGCCTGCGCCACCAGCTGCTGACGTCGGGGGCTCTGCCACCTGCAGGCAGGGGGGCTGGAGGGTTGTCCTACGGGTCATGGAACTGGGCACCAGCAGCAATGAGATCCTAAAGGGACTGAAAAGGAGGAGCAGGCTGCTGCTGAAAAGGCTGTGACCAAGGAGGAATTTCGGGGTGAATGGACTGCGCCAGCTTCCGAGATCGTGCATGTTCCTCCGTCCTGGGGCGCTCAGCCGCCGCTGAAGACGGGTCTGTGGCTCCCACAGCTCAGGCCACTGAACGGGCTCAGAACAGCTGCTGAGTGTGGGGTCAAGCTTTCCTCTCCAGACTTTTAGACAAAAATGGAAACAAAGTTGATGGAAAATAAAGTTCCTGAAAAAAACCCAGAGATTATCATTGGGGGAAAGTGGCCAGGAACAGGATGTATGAAAATAATAAATGTATGGCATGTGTGGAGAAGGGAGCATCTATCCCCTTTGCCTGCGGAAATCAGGAAAGAGGACATGAAAGAAAAGACATTGGGGCGGAAGAATGGATAAATTTGGGCAGGCACAAGGGCACAGAAGAAGTACGCCTGTCAGGGGTGACAGTGGGGATAACAAGGGCCAAGGCAAGAAAAGAAAACAGCAACTCAAAAAATGGTTTGGTTTGAATCCCTCCAATTAGGAGACCCTGGTCCCCTCCCAGGAAGCCTGGGCTGTCTCTGTCTTTGTGCTGAACAATTCCTTTGTGCTGAACAGATCCCAGATCTGTTTTCTGAAGCTTCCAGGACCTCGCCTTTGAGAGAGACTTAAAGATAGCTGTCATGATCTGGAGCTCTGCACACACACACTAAATTCCCCCATCCGGGCCATACATCCCTCTAGCCTCGACTCTTTCTTTTCTTTTCTTTTTTTTGAAAGATTTTATTATTTGAGAGAGAAGAGAGTGAGCACAAGCAGGGGCGAGGGGTGAAGGGAGAAGCAGACTCCCCACCAAGCAGGGAGCCTGATGCAGGACTCAATCCCAGGACCCCGGGATGGCGACCTGAGCTGAAGGCAGACGCTTAATGGACTGAGCCACCCAGGCGCCCGCCTCAACGCTTTCTTAGATGCTGTGTTTTTTCCCTCTCTTCTGAATGCTTTCTGGTTTGCAGTTCCCCTTCACTGTGTATGACTTTGAAAACCTAACACCCCAGACCAGACAAGGTGCTGTAGGCACTGGAGTGAAGAGGAATGGGATGTGTCCACCTCCATTGTTCTAAGATTTTAAGTATCTGTCATCCTAGCCTGACATTGTTTCAGTGTTTAGATCAGTGACATCACAATGGTAACCCCAGAGTTCATTGTCAATAAGCGCAAATATGTCTCTTTTTATTGACTTGTTTCCATGTGATACGTGTACTGGGTCATCACTAGTTTATGTCATGTTGGCATGTGAATTAGAAAAAGTAGCCCTCTCTGGGGGGACTCTTGGGAAAAAGGCATCCCTGCGAGCTGATGTAGGCGATGGCCACAGTGTGGCAAACAAAACAGGGCTGGGTTTGGGCCCTAGTTTGCTCCCTCGCTCTGGAACTTTTGTGCAGTGCACATACCTCCCAGCTGAGCTCTGTACTTGATGTTGTCCTCTTACTATGTTGGTAAAATTTTTTTCTTCCCTCCCTCGCTGTTTTCTTTCCTTCTCTCCTTTTAGCTTTAGAATAAAAGGACTTACATTTCCGGTCCTTACATTTCATTTTGTTATAGTATATCCATTTTTTTCAGCATTTCAAGACAGTTTTGCCCTCTCATTCACATATATTTGCATCTCTTCTGCATCCTGTTATCTGTCAGCTTGATGAACCTTCCCTTTCCTTGTGCTTCTGAATTTTCTGTTTCTGCCTTTCCCCGCTGCAAGTGATATTTAAGTAAATATCTTTCAAGCTGAGAACTTAAATTCTCTCTAGACTAAGGGTTCAAGAAAATGGACATCTTCTGAAAAGTTCTGTCTGATTTGCTGTGGAGATTGGCAGAAAAATTTTAAAAAATGAAAAGATCTAAGGTGATAAGAGACAAAAGTTAAATAAATAACCCCAGCGTTCTCACGGATACTGTTCTAGTCTCTGGCTCCCAACCACCGTGTGTAGGGGAAACTCTGCTAGACTTCTGCTTCCTCCTTCAATTTTGTAAGATTGTTGCCATCCACCCTCTCGGTTCCCAGGGGCGGCCTTGATGGTGCCCACTAATATCTGGGTGGGTGCTGGGGGATTCACATAGGGCAGTGAGTGGACAGCTTGGAGGACTG